TGAATGGGAATCATTTATAATCCAGATGTATTTGGGTAACAACAGTTCTAATAATGCAGCATGGCTACTTATAGAGAAATACATTGAAAATACAGAATTATGTAATCCTCTTGTGGAAAATGATGCCCATGAGTTTCTTGTGATTATTTTTGACATATTAGAACAATATGGCGTAAACAGTAATAATATGCAAGCATTACCACAATACCTTGTTATGAAGGACACAGTGATCAACCACAATTCTAGGGAAAACTAACAAAATCAATGGAAGCAGAACATCAAAATATCGACCCCCTCCCCAAATGTATAGCTTAGAGTAATATTCGGTAGTAAGAGATGGGCAAGGTTTCAACAGTTTTGTTATGTTTTCTGAGAATTCTTTAAACTCAAGAACATTTGTTGAAAATTCGACAGCTTTCTGTCCTGATTTAAGTTTGTTGATGCGCCCCATTATGCACTATCGTCAAAAATAAAGAAAATGTCAGAGCAGAGAAAACGTCAGAATACGGAGAAGTACCTTCATATGAAAAACAATGTCCAGAAGCTGACAGTACCAACGAGAAGGCCTCCTAATACACCCTGAATTCAAAACGAGGGATCCTAACCAAACCAGATGGGAAGTTATCAAGAATTGATTGTTCAGTTTTATGTTATTATGATTTTAAATAAATTCAAGGGTCATATTCCCATTATCATCGATATAACCTTGGTTATACTATATGTCTTGTATACTCTTTTGATGTCAGTTTTTAGTCTGTGCTATTTGTTAAAAAACAACTTTAATTTTGTTCAACTATATGCTGTATCATACATTAATAAATCACAAATCTTGTCAATTGTATCTGAATATCAACCACTGGTTATTTTCAGCCCTCTTGTGATGTATAGTTATTCAGCTCCAACGTGTAATATCCACGGGTTTCGGGACTCGCTTAAAAGCCATTAGGTGTTTAAATTCTGAAGATAAACCATCCCAGTGATTTCCACTTTGTACAATTCGTAACGCCGTCTGGTGTTTCAATCACGATCTCCCTCAAGATAATGAATACTGTATAATGGTGAAGAACTAATGTGTACAATGAAGTTTTTGAGGTTGTGATCTGCCAATGTCATGTCGGCGCGCAATCATTACTCTTTTCCAAAACAAAGAACAACACCTTACTAAAGCATCGGTCAGTTAGTTAAATATTAACTAAAGCCCTCTCACTCAAATTAACGAATGTCATATGAAATATAAACATGTTGACCACAAAATTGTGTTTGTGTGTGTGAGTTTATGTGTTTGTCTAATAAACGTTGTGACGACTTCCATTTAATATCACACCTACCAAATGACAACACACCTACAAAGTGACGACCCTCACTGTTTTTGCTATAATATATATATTAAGTAAGGTATGCTACGCGTTATATTAAATTAAATTGTTAAGTCACATTATGTTTGATGTTATTTCTACTTCTTTATTTAGAATTGCAATTTAATTGAGTTTAAATAAATCGCAACCATATAAAGAGTAACATTTTACTCTTACTTTAACGTTTTTAATCATATTGCAACTACATTAAAAGTTCATCTAATATAGTCCTCAGAACACAAGTTAATTCAATAGAGTCCTGGAGTAGAACGTGGGTTCAAATTTACATATTTCAAAATTGGAATGTTAGAGGAATCCTTCTGAGGTTTATGCACCATTTATATTAAAA